ATATATATATATATATATATATATATATATATATATATATATATATATATATATATATATATATATATATTAGTCAAATGGTCATATACCGGGTATATATATATACTCTGATCTTTACCTTACTTGTTATTGTTAAATTCATTGTAAGGTTACTCAAAAAGTACCTGTATATTAACATTGTTTTGGGAGTGTGAGCTCATTAAGAAAGTTTTTTTTTATTTATTTATTTATTATTTTATTCTTTTTTGACTAATATTAATACTTTTTTATGATGAATTTTGCATGTTCTTTGTATAAGCATTTTTTTATGAAAAAAATCTAGTGATTCAAACATTAAGCTAAGATAACAATAGAACATTAAATGAATGTATAAAAGATACTAGTATTTTAATAAATTGACTTTATTTTTTCATTATTTATTTATTTCAGTGTGGACAGAATTGTGTACTCCCTGGAGGACTCCATATTTGATGTATTCTGTGATAAAGATGAGAAAATCTCAGTGGCAAAGTTTTTAAATGTGAGTAAAGTATACATCAAAGATTTGAGTGATAATTTCTTCAGACAAAATTCATATGCTGTTTCAAGTTGTACATTTATTTAGCATTAACATGACTTGCAGTTAAATGCCAGGATATGGATTTAAGGGGTGGTGATACTAGAAGTACATTCTCTCTCTTTCATCTTTATCCTTCATTAAATAAAGTGAAACATCACATTTTTTTATATTTGTAACACTTTAGACTAACATTAGCTCTGGCTATTCTCTACTGATGTACCCCAGTAACGTGTCATCTGCTCTGGTGGTGTTGGTTAATTTGTGGGTTAGGTGGTTAATATGGGTGTTAGTGCTAAAAGATCTGTGGGTAGTGCTAGCTAGTAAATGCCTAATCTATTTATAACTTTTGTTAAATTAAAAAACAATTTAATACACAGTAGCCGTGGCATACAATTTGCAGATCACTTCAGATTTTGACACACTTTTATTATAGTTTTTTTTTTTTTCCATTTCTTAACCTTTAATTTCGTAATTCTTATTTTAATGCAAAATTACATGTACATGTAGATTGGTGGGATGAAGATATTTATGCTGTGGAGGTGGCTGAGTACTGGGAACTTAAGAAGAAGCTTTTTACTTAGAATTTTTAGCTCTTTGTAGTGTATTTAATTGTAATAGATTTTAACTTTTATCAACAGATTTCATTATGAACTACATTTTCAGGCACTGACTGCCACGGGTCTAAGACTGACTGACCCCAGGTTAAAGGAATGTATTGGTCACTTTGAATCTCTGGAGTGTATAGCTACTGACCTTAATGAAGTGGGGACATCTCTCACCATAGACAGGGAGACGTTTAAAGAGTAGGTTTTTAGGTATTTTAAAATTTATTATGCAATGTTTATGCAACTACCTGTACATGAATATTATTATAACAATGTAATATAGTTAATAAAATGCTCCCTAAAAATGTCAGTGAGCAGGAGAAATATTAATGTGAAGTGACGGCAGTCCTGAAGAAATTGATAAGATTTAACATACATACTAGATACCCACAGATTTCAGATGTATTATAAGCAGCACAACCTTATTGATCACAATCTGTCTGGAATTCTGATTCTGATGATATTATTATAATTTATATTTTCAGATGTATAGCAGACAATATAGTATTGATAGCTCGAGCACTACAGGGAAAGTTTATTATTCCCGACTTCAAGACACAGTTTTCAAGGTTAAACAACAAACTTTACACAAAATGTAAACCTAACAATAAAGGCAAGGTGAGTGTCAAGGTCACTGACTTTAGCAATGTCAAGGTGAAGGTCAGGGGGAAGTCACTGTGCCAAGGTCATTTCAATAACATATAACATTTTGTTTGTTATAAAGAGCAATTTGAAAAAAAAACTGTGAGTTGGTTTTATTGGGTAATTTTTTTAAAAAGTTTGTCAGTTATTTATTTATTTATTTATTTATTAATTTATTCATTCATTTATTTATTTATATTTTATTTGATTTTTTTTTTGGCTGTGTTGAGGCAAGCAGGTTTTGTGCTACCAAGACCCCACTCAATGGCCTCTAATGTCCAGATTATGACATATAGACTCCAGCAGACCATTTTTATACAACAGAATCCTGTAATATATATGAAATGACAAATTATTATTACAAAACATTTTCATGTCATTAATTTGAAATGATGCTGTTTTTTTTTTTTTTTTTTTTTCAGTGCACTTTGGATTTCTTTACTCCAAGTGATTAACTCCATACCTCTATTTATATGATAATTTTGTATGATTTAATTCATTAATTTAACAAGTTATGACAGAAAAAAAAGCAGGTATTTGTCAACCGTCAACTTTTGACTTACAGATAATGTTTTATTATTATCTTTGTTGATCTAGGTTGCCACCTACATTCCTCAGCTGTCCCGTGTAAACCCTGATTACTGGGGTGTGTCTTCTTGTACCATAGACGGACAGAGGTATAGTGTGTGTTTGTGTGTGTGTATGTGTGTTAACCCAGATTACTGGGGCGTATTAGTGTGTGTGTGTGTGTGTGTGTGTGTGTGTTAACCCAGATTACTGGGGCGTATTAGTGTGTGTGTGTGTGTGTGTGTGTGTGTGTGTGTGTGTGTGTGTGTGTGTGTGTGAAAGACCAACTCCCAAGGTCTTGTACCAAAAATGGACAGAGGTATACCCTACATATACATTTATTAGAAAGTGTGTGTGTGCATGTGTGGATGTGTGTGTGTGTGTGTGTGTGTGCGCTCAATATGCGATACGAATCTTGCAGTCAGCATTATCAATTACTAGTACATGTAATAGACAGCTTAGGGAAACATTTCATACTCTTCTTTGGCATAAAATATACAAATAAAAATGCAACATTGCAGAATTGCTATGATAATGGTAACAGCCTGATCATTTGTACAGACATATTAAACTAAAATTAAGAGCATGTACATATTATTTTCAGACACTCCGTGGGTGACGTGCACGTCCCGTTCTGCCTCCAGTCATGCAGCAAGCCCCTCTTATACGCGCTGGCTCAAAACGAGATGAGCGCGGAGACAATCCATCAATATGTGGGACAGGAACCGAGCGGACGATCCTTCAATGAACTTACACTGGATTATGAAAGTAAGGGGCCATTTCCAGACCCTATCATACTAACTTTGGATCGATATATCTCCTAGGGGATTCTTGCTAAATTGCAATCAACTAAAACGGCTTAGATGCCTGTCACACCAATTAAAGCTGCTTGGGGGTAATTAATTACCGGGCATCAAAGCTTGAGTTTAAGAATTTTTCTCTTCCCTTCCAGACAAGCCTCACAATCCAATGATCAATGCTGGGGCCATAGTAGTCTCCTCTCTGCTGAAGAATGAAAACTCACTCTCAGACAGATTTGATTTTGTAAGGAATAGTTTATGAGCAAAATCTTTGGTAAAGTGGTTATATATCTGCTCATGTGGTCACAGTATCATTGGTGCATGAGTTTGAGAGAGAGAGAGAGAAATTGCCACCTAAATGTGTTGTATTCAATTATTATTATTTATAGACAGCATTTCTTTTGTCCCAATAGTTGTCTTTTTTTAATTTTCTAGTTTTATTGTGGACTAGCTTTTTTCAGCATGATATAGTGTTTGTCTAGAACTGCAAGTTTTTGACAAAAATCATCAAAAATATTACTTTTTCAGTTATTGGATGTTAAGTGTGTAAAGAAGAGAGAAAAGGGTTGGAGCAGAGGATGGGGACTGGGGCAGAGAAAAGGAGTGGAAAGGATTGAAATCATAAAATCATTATCAAATCCCATTTCTGTTCTTCCAGGCTCACAAGCAGTTCCAGAAGCTTTCAGGTGGAGAGTTTGTTGGCTTCAACAATGCTGTGTAAGTCAATAATACATGAAAATAATCTAGAGCTCTTTTATTTATTCACCAAAAATACAGGTACATGAAAAAAGTGGACCTTTTACCACGAAAGCTTTGTGTAGTTAGATCAAATTTTGCCCAGAGCACTTTTTTGCTCAAGACCTTTTTCCTGGCAAAAGGGTCACTGGCTCATTTGATTACCCTAACCTCCCCCCCCCCCAAAAAAAAAAAAGCTATTGGTCTGCACTCTCATATTAATAAATAATTATGTCAGTAGCATTTGCAGTAATTCTTCAGCTGGTTATGCTTTAAGAATATGATGTAATACACACAAAACTACTGTTCCAGGACTATACCAACATTTGCTAGATTCAAGGTTGCGTCTTTATTCAAGATGTCCCTGCTAGGTGGCCATGAAATTAAGTACCACTGATAAATGAGTGTTGACATCTAGAATGCATCAAACAGACATACCAATTCTACAATAACATTACTGGCAATACCTCCCATTATTCAAGCACATGATGCAGATTAATAAATTTTGGTCACTCAGAAAAGATACTCCTGTGAAACAAATCCATGTCAATTTATTCAATTTTTGATACAATGTTTATCTGTTTATTTATTTATTCAGTCATTTATTTATATATTTATTCATTTCTTTATTATTTGTAAACTTCCAACAAGCATTGTTTAAGGGAAACATATTTATAATTTATTCAATTTTGCTCAAATAAAGTAATAACCATGGATAGCAAAGTATGAAGTAACAAAAAAAGTCCCAAGATTTGAAAGCTGCTGTGACAGAGATGATGATATTCAGTGTGTTTGTCATCTCACTGAGCATGAAATTGAATATAAACTGCTCGCTGGACTGAAATGACCTGAGGTCAACTCCGGTGACCAGCTGGTAAATATTTGGGAGTGGACATTACACATGTAAATTTGTCTGTTTCACTGCCAGGGGAATATGTCTTTACTTTGGAAATTTAGGTTCAAAGTCAAGCATGGATGACTTGCATACATTTCAAAGGTTGCAAAGTGCACATTTGTGTGTAGTACTGTCCTACAGGTTTTATGACTATTCCAAAAAAAGAAGGAAATAGAAAAAAATACACAGAGGAAAGAACTGTGAAGTAATAAAGTAGATAGGTGATAATGGAAGTATAAGTTTAGAGAGAGATATTGTAAATATTATGTGAAAAGGAGGAATAAAATTAACTAGTAAGTGATGACCAAGTTTAAACAAACGCCATCATGCTGTCAAAACAGGAAGAAAGAAAAAACTTTTTTTCAAAGTTTGGCTTAATAATAGTCTGACCAGATGCATGTGGTGGAGAAAAGAATATTTCCCTGAGGTTGAAGTATTATTATATTTGTTGTTTAATTTGATATTTATAATTTTAGGTTTCTATCAGAAAGGGAAACAGCAGACAGAAACTTTGCTCTTGCCTACTACATGAAGGAAAAGAAATGTTTTCCTGAGGGCACTAACCTCATGGAGACACTGGACTTTTATTTTCAGGTAAGGTTGCATAATAAATCCAGCCAAAGCTGATTTAAAATGCTTCATATTATTGATAAACTAAGTTTTACATTTTCAGTTTTAAAAAAAATCATGTTACATCTAAAGGTTTGGAGTGCATTTTTTGAATGATGTTCTATGTGTTCTTCATAGATAAAAATTACAAGTCTAAGCCTTTCACATTATTATTATTGTTGTTGTTGTTTTGTTGAAAGTATTTTTAAAAGGTTGATGATACTCATATTCCACAAAGCATTTTATAAAATATGCCACATAAGAATATATAGAAATTATCAATATCATAATCATCATTATTTCAATTCCTTTTAGATGTGTTCTATAGAAATCACCTGCGAATCAGGAAGTGTCATGGCGGCCACTCTTGCTAACGGCGGTGTCTGTCCAATCACGGGAGACAAAGTTCTCAACCCTGTATCAGTGCGTAATACCCTGTGTCTGATGGCTTCCTGTGGGATGTATGATTACTCTGGACAGTTTGCTTTTCAGGTACTTTGAGATAAAACTTTTGGACAGAAAATGTGTCTTGATGTGATAGTTTTGCTCACATTATCCAACTTTTTTTCAAAAATTTAATTCAAATTGATTTTAGTGGGCTACGGTGTTGGATTGAAATATACCGATTTTGAAATATGTTATGTGATGTATGGATGTACTGAAGAAGTATTTTTATGGTGCACACCTTTTCATCTTAATACATTTTTGGTATTAGTTTTATGTTTTATATTTTGAATTTCTAATTTGTGATCTAAGACTTGTAAAAGCATTTTTCAATACTGTACCAGTAAAAACTTTTTTTTCATTTTAACACATTTTAACATATTTTTTCATGATAATAAAAAAAAAAACATTTTGTGGGATTATTTTACCATTTTGAAAAATACTGAATAGTGCTTGAAAATCTAATTCTTAAATTTATAACAAACAACAAGTATTTAAGTACAATTAATTAACAATATTTCAAAACCCGTCTCTCTGCAAGATCAATGCAAATGTATGGTCAGCTCACATACCATTAACATGTAGTAATTTTCCTCTTAGTGCGGGATCCCTGCTAAGTCAGGGGTCTCCGGTGCCATCTTGGTTGTAGTGCCGAATGTCATGGGGCTGTGTTTGTGGTCGCCGCCTCTGGACAACCTGGGGAACAGCGTCAGGGGAATTCAGTTTGCCAAGGTAGGGAGTTTGTATGACAGGTAATAGTCTTCTCCTTCTTCTTGGTTGTCTGACGCTTGCAGATTTAGCATCTCCTGCATCATCCATCTCGATTTTCAGCTTTCATTGTATGTAATAATACTGCATACACATATCATATATAAGACAAGATGTGATAGGTTATCCCGGCCTTACTACTAGTACTAGTAGACATAAGGTTTTTTATGGAATCACTGTTTAGAGATTCTTATAGGATGTAAGGTGGCCAAGACTTTCAGTCCATATATTGTTGTCTTGAGACAGAGATTCAGTTTTTTTTTCATCCCAGGCTCTTGTGTACCCTGCTTTAAGGATTTCATTTTGTTCTCCACATGATGAGTACAACTGAAGTTTTCTCATAAAAAATTTTAATGAAATATTCTTTAAGAATTTTGTATACAGTAGATGAACTTTTCTTACAGAGGGATTAAAAAAATTATTTATTTATATACTCTTAACAGAATTTTACACAAGGCTATAACTTATTATTTATAACTAACATGTATTTTGAAATTATGGTGAAAGGCCCAGATTGACATTTTCAAAATATGATGTGTGAAAAATAAGCTAAAATAGTTATAAAATTTACTTGTAGAATTACAGAATTTCATGCAGTACAACAGGCATATACTAGTTGAATTGACTACTATATCTGTTTTATTCAATCAAATAGGAATTTGTGAACACGTTCCACTTCCACAACTTTGACAGCATGGTTCAAGATTCCAATAAACATGACCCCAGGAGGAAGAGGTTTGACAGCAAAGCCATGGAAATCACCAGACTGCTGTATGCTGCTTACAACGGAGATGTTACTGCATTGAGGAGGTGAGAGTGAGAGGGGCGGGAGAGAGAGAGGGAGAGCTTTGTATGTATGAGAGAGAGGGAGGGAGAGCTTTGTGTGTCTAAGAGACAGTGAGGGATAAAGAGAGAGAGAGAGAGGGAAAGTTTTGTGTGTATGAGAGAGAGAGAGAGAGAGAAGATGGAGAGAGGGGTGGGAAGGAAGGGAAGGTTTTATTGTCTTGTTTTTATTATTATTATTATCATTTTTATTGGGCAAGTTAGTTACTGCTGAGGCAAAGAAAATGTGTGACAAAATTAATTTGATATTTTCATAAATAATTTCAAACAAATAATTAATACTAAAGAAACACCAGCAGGTAAATTGATTTAAAAATATTTGATTGAATTGAAATCTTAACAAAAGTGCTTCTGTATCAGATTTATTTATTAGAAATCACATCTTAAAAAAATATCAACCCAGCGTTAAAATATCTATAAAAATCACAAGATAAGAAATAATGTAAACCATGTTTGTACCAGGTGTGCATTGATCAATATGGACCTGGCTCAGGGGGACTACGACTTACGGACTGCACTGCACGTGGCAGCAGCCGAGGGTCACCAAGATGTCATACAGTTTTTGTTGGAGAGGTGTCAAGTGCCTTGTAATCCTAAGGATAGGTAAGACTTATACATCCTGGAGATAGTCAACATAAAATCTGCACCATAGACGCCTATATACACATATGCATGCAGCATGATGCTCACTGGAGTCTGGGAACTACACTTGGTCTTATCTTGGTTGCGCAGCGACCTCTTTCGTAGTCTTTGTTTGTTGGTGTTTAAAGTAATTGTAAGTTACTTCTATATAATATAGGTCAATTATGTTGAATAAGGTAGGAAGTGTTACCAACTATTACTTGGACAATAAAGGCATATTATTATTCTGACCAAGTGTTTGTTCCTGATGACGTAGGTTTACAAAAACATACACTTGTGCACGCATGAAAAGATTTGCACATTCATACACACGTATGCACACACACTGACACAGACATACACACACACACACACACATACACACACACACATACACACACACACGTGCACGTGTGCGCATACACACAGACACACACAGGCACACACACACACACACACTCACGCATGCACTCACGCGCACACAGACACACACAGGCACACTCACAAAGTTTCAGATCAACACAATCAGAAGTTGCACAACTAACACATCCAGGAAATATTATGTACTCTAGAATTATAATCATTATATAGTAAAATACTTGTACCGGTATAGAACACTGCAATGACAGTAAACTATTGTTTGTACATGCAAACCTTGTATTTATTTATTTATTTAAATTTATTAATTTATTTTTAGGTGGGGGTTCACCCCCCTAGATGAGGCCAGGAGGTTCAACCACCCCAGGGTGGCTGAGATGCTGGAGGCTGCCATTAAACATGAGGAGAGAGATGCTGGACGCGGTGAAGAAAAGTTGAGTCTCCAAAATGACTAACATCTTAGCAGTGATCAGTCAGAACATACGACATGTTTGTGTTTGGAAATGTGATGTACTTGGGCAGCAGACGATAAAAGTTGGATTGTTTGAGTTACTGCTTAAGGCAATAAAAGTAACAATACTTTGGGTATGATATTAATGTTTAAGAACAGTATTCATCTCAGTCATTTATAAAACTTGCATAATATACATGTTGGTGTTAACTATTTGACTTTATAATTATATTAACCAATATACCGGTAAGTCCATAGCTTTAGATTAAAGTCATTATCTAAAAAGTTCAAAGTATATAAAAAAAGCAAAATGCAGTACAATGTATTATTTATAATAGAAGAAAAACATAAAAGGTTATGTCTTTTTTGTGTTATTTTTTTTCAGTGACTCATTTATATTGTTAAATACTAACTTACAGAGTGTTTGATGATTTAGCTTTTTTTAGGCTAAATAGTTTGATGAAAGGGACATATAGACTTTAAAATGGTCATTTGTATTATTACATGTACACAGTATATCAGGTATAAAACAAACATCGGACCTCTGCTAAAAGTGATATTTTTTATTCTGTTCACTATTAAGTGTATATTTTATTCTACACTGGTTGTCACTAATTTTACTCTTTTATATACATATAGGAGGGCCAGTTCTCAAAATACTGCTGTTAACACTTATTTTCCCCTAGTATTGATAAGAACACAGTTGTTCATAGTGCAGTACCTGTGAATTGTTATACATAGACTAAGAATAAGTACACATTGTCAGGATATTGAAATAAATACGGATGTATTGATTTTTTTTTTTTTCATCTAACAAATGTTCAGAAGTATTTTTATACATGTTACGGTTTTAAGCAACTGATATTAGTAGATATAGATAATATTAACATTTCAGGTTTGCCCCATGTTATAATATAATCTTTGTTCACTCTATATTTTAGTGTCACACATTGGCTGATCTAAAATATGGCCTGGATGCAGAATTTTATACATCCTTATCACTCTTCTTATATCTACTTCTACTGCCAAAATACAAAGTGTATAATCAAAACTAAAACGTCAAAGGGGTCTTAAGATGCTACCTCACAGTTTTTTTTTTATTATTTCTAGTTCAATGATGTAGAATTAAAGATGGTTAATGTTATCTGCTATTGTGAAAAGTCAGAGTTGACCCTATGACATGTCTACCTTCATACAGGGGTATTTAAATTGATATTCTCTGCATCGTGATTTGTACAGGTTTTGCCAAATAATGATTGTAAAGTTTGAAAAGTATTACACATTGGAAAAACACTGCAGTGATTCAATATGCCCTTTAAGTTAATAGTTCGTTTCTTTTTTTTTTTTTTTCTTGTGCCGTTCTTTAATTTTTTCCGCATTTCAGTAATGAGCCATGTTGTGTGCGCCATTTACTTTTCACAATAATATTTCGTACTTCACGCTGTTAAGTTTATTTGCTCAGCTTAACTGTTTACTTTATATCTTATTTTAGTTTCAAACATTAGCTGTTAAACCCCATTTTTTCCAAAAAATGACTTGCAGTATTTGATTGGGGAAGGATTTTGTGAATATATTGTCTGCAATTGAGCATGTACATACTGTGGTAAAATGGTCTTACTTCTTAAGCTATTATTATTATTATTATTATTATTATTATTGTTGTTATTATACGGATGCAGTGTATTTACGCTGGCAATAAAAAATGAAAAAAATCTTTCTTTATAAACTGATTTATGCTTATTTCTGGCGAAACATACAAGGAGGACCGTGTTTTACATGTCACCGCAGTGGGTTTTGACACTGGAGATTTTATCTTTTAAAAACTTTTTTTAGAGTTAAGTATTTAAGACAAGATCTGAAGTTCACGCTCTGAGCATAGCCTTTATGTAGCAAGCAACGGTTTCATTTCTATGGAAATCGCAGGGATTTCATTCCTTTAACTAACAAACAAAAAGAACTTTTATCATATTCCGTTTTTTTTAATCGGGACTCGAGCATAAATTTCAAAATACAGTTATAGCGGGTTTGATATTTTACGGAATCCAATGTCAGTTTAAAATAATGGAATTATATAAAACTGTGAGGCACTTTCGTATTTTTTCTACGTTTGTGAATTTTAATCATTGTCTAATGTCAAAAGATCAAGTGATTTAATAAATAATAGCGGCACAGTTATAGTGCAGTAACAATCTACAGTGGAATTTTTGATATAAAAAACATTGATCGAAAACCTAGTTACAAGTTATGAAATTCAAGTGGTGCAAGGAGAACCTGCTATTTATTAAAATAAGTGCTCATATTCGGGGCGATTAAATACGAATATGTATGAGATGTATATGTTAGTTACTTGATACGCTTTTTTGGTCTAACGTTTGAACAGTTAATGAAAAAGTGACAAAGGGTCAGATTATAACATATTGTGATAATTTCCCTTTCCTTGACTTAAATTTGTTGGTAAATCTGTGTTTAGATTTACACGAAAACGTGAACTCGGCTCGTTTCGTATAGTACGTTTCGAATTTACTCTATCCACATTTTAGCAACCTGCAATAATTTAGATCATTATTTCATTTCTTAGGGGCACATTTTAGCTAAAAATACAATCATCTTTCCGTTTTGCTGCATCTGAACACGAAGTGATCCAGAGGAGGGTCTGATCCGGCGCAACGGGAGTGTGTAAACGGGCCTTAATGCGCAAGAACGTTGATTATCAACAAACGCATTGTTCCACCCGTGTGCTTGCATTCACCACAGTTAATGTAAATATGTAAATAGCGGGGCATTTCACGTCCCATCATTAAAAAATCAAAACACTTTGCACGCCTGATCGATCTGGAAGGCTGTCTTTTATCAGTGTAACAATGATTACCCTCCTGAAACCGTGCTCTGGTTTTGCGACAATATCTAACAAAAACCTGCTAATTTATATTTGGCCCCGCGTGGAGTATTTCTGCCATTGTTCAAGTTAATGAACACTTTTTCATACCGTCACGCAGAAGTACGGATCAATACTTCTTCAACATACCACATTTTTCCGTGGCAGCAGCTTTTTACAAATCATGTTTGCCGATAATTATCTAGAACAAATATTGCACCCATTTCCAGTTTTCTAATGCCATGTCCGGAAATATGGTTATTCGAACAGCATTAGTTCACAGCAAGTTACTTTTTGTCCAACATTGGCTAGAAATATTTGGCGAAGAGACACTTAAAGAGAATTAAGTTTTCGGTGACAAAGTTCAAGCTCTCTCAGCTTTAATCCTTAATATATACAGTAGGGCCTACATATATAATGGTGATCATAATTAAGTATGATAAACGTAAGGTAACCGGAATATTTTGACACGGCGATTCAGCCAATGTTGAAGAAGTCCTCATTCAATTTTTTACATTATTCAGTTGGCAACTTGGCTTTATGATTCATTTTATACTGACAATTTGCCAAGTAGGAGTCTGGACACCCCCTCCCCCCTCAAAAATAAATGAAATATAAGGAATGAATAATGAAATAAAACTGAATTAAACCAATGGAATGGACATATAACAATGAAATAATAGTAAAAACTATGTATAGAATTGCACCTGGTCTCTCAAGGTTGGAAAACCTTGACCTCTGCCCTTTGTTTAAAAAGTCATAACATGCTTCAACATTCGGTCACAGTGTTCAAATCAGTGGAAGAGCCCGTCAATACCCTGGTGTGTACTTAGAGCACCCTGGGGTCAACGGGGTCAGAGCGCATGCGCTATGTTGACTACCTAGGCCACCAGGTGTCTTCAGCCTTAATGGGGGGCTTTTTTTCTCAATATTCCTTCTGTGACGATGTCAATGGCGAACGGGGCTTTCTTGCTTTCTTTTATTTCTTCGGCATTCTAATAAAATACGCATATAAGAACTACTGTTAAATATATTACTTAGATGCCAGAGAAAATATTCACTCCCCCTTTAAGCCGGTTTTTGATCCTGTGAGGTTATCTGATAATGCTGATACTCGCGGACAAAAAAAAGAATGAAGGAATAAACTTTTGGCTCGAAAATTGACCAAAAATTGATTGAATTGTACACAGAAAGGGCTCAGTAAGCTTGGCATTGTCATGGAGAAGAGAGAACACACTTTGCCTCTGTTTGACAATTTGAGGATTGAAACATTTAAGCGTGCATTTTATCAAAATAACAATAATAATGATAATGATGATTCATCAGATAATTTTTTGATGGTGTATTTAAAACCCAACTAGCTTAAATATTTGAATCTGCCTTTATTCCCTTTAAAGCCTTAAGCTCTGAGTATTGTACAGAAGAGGATAAATGTTCAAATCTCACCCCTGCTGCGTCTGAACTCTATTGCTATCCATGTTTTATAAAGTTCAAATGTTTAATAGGACCAAAATTAAACAACAATGCTTCTAATGAATATACTTTTGACATGAACAACCGAAACATTTACTTAGGTTTTCAACAAATAAATCATTTATTGCAGTTTAAAATGATACAGACCTCTGCAGGACCCGACATTGAAACACGGCGCACTGTGTAATAATAAGGTTACGCAACCTAACTTGGAGAGCGTTTTAGACTTTAAATGCAAGTAAAATCGTTACACTTCTTTAAGCTTTTGTGGCAATGTTGTCACAAGTTTGTAAAGCGGGGTACTTTGGCACGCTCTTTGTGGACCGCTTCAAAACGATACAAGTCGCATTGTATGCATTTCCTTGTTGATAAAATCAATATTTCTGAGCGCGTTACAATCGTGCTCGCTTACCGAGGAATAACAATCGGGATAAGGGACGCAATGTTTTAAAACACACCTCGTACCACAAAAGTAACGGGGTATTGAATGCGGTGGCGTAGTTGTTCTGTTTGTGTAGGCTTTTCTATAAAAGATTTAAGTTACTTTTATAATTCAGCAAGAAATGTATGTGTTCCTCTAGTATACTGCCTGGTGGATCACGGGAGGGGGTGACCGTTGAGAAAATAGTTAAAACCTCAGGTTGACACTAAAGGCTCATTCCCAATTAAACTGTCGTTCACTTAGATCGATCCAACTCTGTTGAATGCAATATGATTAACAGGTAAAGCACGCCTTCTCCCGTTTCTAACCCTAATTCGGAGAAAGGACATTGAGACGAAGGAAGTTTTACATTTTCCGTCCAGGTTAACGTTTTTTTTTTTTTTTAATCAAAGGTTTATTTTCATGGTTCACTATGAAGGGGAACCGACGTTGTTATTGCTTGATATTTTCAAATTTGCGGAAATGAATGAATGATTATACACAAAGAAATCTAGAAATAAAAAAAATAAACAGTCGAACTGAACTTCCCAAATTCTCAAACCACCCAGCAGGGCTCCAATAGCGCCCTGGTCGGTTTCACCGCAAGCTTAACCGTTGCTATGCGTATCAAATCCCTCTCTCCTTATCAATCATGATTAAATCAGCGTCTCATGGCCAGGTACGACAAGGGTACACGCGTTCACCTTTGTATTGCATTGGGAAAGATTAAGGGGAGTCTATTTAATGTGACAAATAGTCACTGTGGACTAACATTGTAAATACTTAACGAGAAAACAATTCAGAAAACCACAATTGTCTCCAGTGGTAGGCAATGATTGATAATCCTTAGGATTAAGGTTACATTTGAATCCTAAACCCACAGTCACAGTTACAGATGCTTGCTTACATGACTGAACAATTATTAAGATATTTCTGAAACTTATATGAGATTGATATTTACTCTTTTTACGAATGTAAATCGATTTTCTTCACATTTCCCTCCTTAACAAAGTTTTCAATGTTTTATTTTAAAATCAACCTCATTTTTTTAGTTAACTAAAATGAAAACAAAATCTTATTACCAACTCAAATGTCATAATGTTTCTCTCAGTGCGTCGTCCTTCACCCGCCCCCCAAGAAAAATACGACCAGCAGTTTGGTTACTCAGAAGGCTCGTGCTCTATAATAATGTCTCTAACGCAAACAAACAGTACTCTGTAACAGTAACGTGTCCACACCGTCCCACCGACAACAACTGTGAGTGAACCAGACATTATAACAGGGACAAGATCAATACTTTCGCGGAAACGGAGAAAGAAACAAAAGGCTAGTGGCTAATAATGATGGGAACAATCGGACAAATGTAAGTACACAGGTTGAAGGGCTGATATATATATATACTTAGTCCAGACTGCTGTAGTATTTCATATATTTATACCTTAACTGTCAGCTTGTATTATGAGGGTAGTTCAGAAATATCCTTGTTGGGGGGCGGTTTCCGTATCGTATTAAGCCACCTAAGTGTATTTATAACAAAATTGAAGTGACTATCGGTGACTGTATGCGTAGTTAACGCATGGTATGTACAATACATGTTTAGGGGCGGTAAGATTTCAGATTTATGAGCTCACAAGTATGCCTAGAACCACCAGCATGTGTTTTAGATGTATCAAATTTCCACACTGGGGGGAATGAAAGGCTACTATTACGTTAATTTATCACGCATCGTGTGTATAACGGTTGCCAAGCAGCTTTTTTGCCGGCCGTAGGTTTCAAACGTTGACACTGACTTAAAAGACTCCAGATTGTGGAGTGTTTCGGGTGTTTCTGGACTATAATGAGTAGACCTATCGGCTGACCTAAACCATCCCAATGCTAG